CAACTCCCTCTCCAAGTCCTCTCTCTCAAAACACAACACACACAGGCCGCGCGCGCGCACAACACACACACCACCTCTCTCTTTCTCTCTCTCTCTCTGACACATACACACTCCTCTCTCGTTCTCTCTCTCCTCTCTCTCTGTCATCACACACAAACAAAACAACAGACCTCTCTCTCTCTCTCTGTCACACACACAACACAACACGCAAGCACTAACTCTGTCTCTCTTCTCTCACACAACACACACACGCACACACTCCTCTCTCTCTCTTCTCTGACACATACACACTCCCTCTCTGTCTGTGTTCTCTCTCTCTCTCTGTCACACACATAACACAAACACGCACACTTCTCTCCTGATCCGGCGATCCGAATCCGAATCCGACAGCATTTGGAAATCCGACTCCGAATCCGAATCCGACGACATAATTTGAATCCGAATCCGAATCCGAATCCGATTCTTTAATAATTGTAAAATCCGATCCGAATCCGAATCCGATCGGATTCGATCGGATTCGGATTATCGATCCGACGCACAGCAACTATCTCAAACTGGGAATATCCCTTTAAGTTTCATATTTAATAAGAAAAAATTGAAAAAACTGCTTAAAAATCAAGTTGTGTTAGAATGAAAATTTCCAGCGAATAAAGAGGCATAACTAATAAAAATACGGCATTTAATAACAATCCCTGATGCTCTTTTTTACAGGAATATGTTACCATTAAAACGAGTGTAAAATTAAATTAATCCGAGTTGTAATCACAGAGTAATATCCATTTACTAGCGGGATACCCGGCGTTTCCCGGGGAAATCAGTGGCGTTACTTCAGCTGGTGAACGCGCTATGGTTAAAAGGAACAATACCGCAAAAAATCTAACTATTCTATCTATCCATGCATCCATCCATGCATCCATGCCCATCCATCCCGATTATATCCCATATCATTCCCATCCGCATGCGCGCATCCCATCCCATCCCATCCCATCCCAAACAGTAAAAAATAATAAAAATAATAAAAATAAAAAATAAATTAAAAAAATAATAAGTTAAATGAATTAAAAATTAAAAATAATACATACTAAAGAGGTAGGTAGGTAAAGGGAAAAAGGAAAAAAGGGGAAAATAAGTTCCCCAGCTGGGACTCGAACCTGGAATCCCGGTGTAGGAAACGGATGTTCTAGCGATTAGGCCACTGCGCCGTTAAGGGTATACACCATAGATTCACACGTACGTGATGTTAATCTGTAGGCACCACCATCTATTGATGAATAGAATTTTTTATCAATTTTTAACTTTAACTTTTTTATATTTTTGTTAACCACCTTCTACCTTCCACCTTCCAGACCTTCCAGACGTGCTGATTCTGAAAATATCTTTAGTTTTCCTCTAGGCTGCGGAGTTCTCTAGTTATGCGAGTATGGACTAATTTGGCTGAACAACTTTATATATATATAGATAGATACATCAGCTACTATGTCAGAAATCGAAACGGAGAAATTAGCGTTTTTCTATTTTTCACAATAATCGACCGCCTGTGTGCAAAATGGTTGAACGTATGTGAAACATCTACTGTTACTGTTCGTACTTACTGTGACATATCCATGACTAACTGACACCACTAAATTGGTAATGTGTTCCATGCACCTTGAGAAATTACGAGGTTACCACCGCACTTTCATGCAAAACGCGCGTACGATATGTACTGCATGCCGTTACCAAGCTATGTGTCAACAAACACGCGCCTAAATGCAAGGTGTGTAACAAGGGAAAGGGGGCTATTTTCGGTCGCGCGGCAATTTCAACTATCACTAGCAAGATGACAGCTGTAGGAGGGTTGATGCTGAATGATACTGGCTTAGTGAATATCATGAAAATTCTGGTTGTATCATGTCTCTGACGTCATCAGTGACGTCAGCTGCTGCTCACTACACGTGTACGTGGGCAATCAAAACGCTCTAAAAGTTCACATGTACCGACAGTACCGTTACATGGAGAAATGAGCATATACAGAGGTGGCACATAGTGTTAGCCATCGAATAAAGTTGAAAATTAAAAATCTGTAAAACTTTGCCTAAAACCTTGAGAGTATCCTTAAATGATACTGTAAATTTGTATACTGTATAATTGTGTATATTGCCGTTTCAACATACAATATGCCTCAGTACAAATCATGAATATGTGCCAATTTTGAAACTTCACGTCTGCTAAAATTCCAAATCAAAATCCACATTCTTATTATCTATTCCTAGCTAAGACATTCTTGAGAAGGCACATGTGAGACAAAAACATGTTTTTTTTTGGCCTTTTCAGATGGAGGTTTCATCAGCTACAGTGCACGAATCATTGAAGGTGGTGATAGACTACCAGACACATCACAGATTGCGAGAAGCTCAGGGCAGAAGGCGAGCGGAAGGTCTCAATGACAGAGTGATGTGGTGGTCTATTGGAGTTACTGTCGTCATTGTTGTTGTTATGGTGGGTCAAGTGTTACTACTAAGAAGCTTTTTTAGTGAGAAGCATGCACATCATCTTTACCAGCAGACGTGAGTGGTTGAGTGCCTCAGAGCACGTGTTCCTGTTTTCATGCAACAATTTGCCATTTTACTTTTCACCACCTCCAAATAGCTATTCTGGCACATATTTGTACATACTCTATTCATGGTCATCCATGAGGAAATTGAACCCCCTTGGATATTTCTGTAAGGTGCTTGACAGACATCACATTGGCAAGACACGAGGCATCATGCATAGGAAACGTTTCTGTCTTTAATGACCCGTGAGTTAAAAGGTGATTGTGCTAAAAAGCAAATGTATTAGTGGGGTGAACATTACATTCTAACCTTGGTACAAAGGATGCACTGTTCAATGTCTATCAAGAACGGGGCATATTTGAAAAGAACAACAAATTTAGGAAATGAAAGCTTAATGGAATTTCTCATTTTTCATAAAACCATTCCTTTGGTGAAACGAGAATTTTTCCTGTCTAGTTAATTGCTCCCATTAAGTCAGTAGTAGTTGGCTATATTTAAGGCTTAGTGTTTGATACCAGATTTCCGCCATCGTGCGATAGCTCTTTATTCACACACTTGTATAATTAGGATGATAATAGCATCACATTTGAGCTTATGAGCAAAGGCAGTGCCTTTTATGCAACAGGTGCTAGGACCATGACCAGTCGTTTGTTTTGCACATATAAACAGCGTGTAGCCATTCATGGTGTGAAACCTATTGAAGAAATAGCATGTTGGGTCAATAAAAGTAAACTGCTCAGCAAGTGTATTGGCAAATTAAGCAGTTTTTCAGTGATTAACCCAAGTTGGTGTAAGCCAAATCTTGAGACTTTTTCATTATAGTAACCCACCCTAGCAATGCAAGAGTAGGTATAAGTAGGTCGACCAAGAGTAAGCATCATGACAGTTGTATACACGCATAAAAATGATAAACAAATAAGTTTGTTTTTTTGTTTTTATTGTGATTTGTGCTAGGTCACTTGGGTTTTGGCAAATACAAAATTCCTTTATTAAGGGTAACATACTCTTTAGCTATAACAACAAATAGAATGTGAGAGAATATTAAAACTTAACACTAGGCAGCATGTGGAACCATAGCTTACTGCTGTTCTGAAAGTATTATGGTTCTGTCATATAAAGCTGCCCAGCCAAGTATTAGATTTTGCATATTGTTGACATAGTTCTCTCACACATAAAGTACAAGTGGAACCTGTGTCTAAACTTTGTTTTGTTACTTGCATTTTTACTCTCACTTGGGAGTGCTATAGTACACAATGAAATATGTGCAATGCATTTCAATGAGTGTACATGTCAAAGAAAGGTTTTGAAATATGTCTTCAGTTTCGCATATATCCTCGTGTTATCTACACAGCGACTTAGTTTATCTAAGAACAAGATGTGAATAATCAATAGTTAATGAAGAAATACTGATTGTAAGTAACCAAGAAGTAACAATAGGATTACATAGAATTTTTGTAACCAAGTTTTACAGGTAATAAATGGTATTAACACGTGTAAAATACTAAAGTGTCATTGACTAATTATTAAACATAGATACAGGGCATTTGTTACAATGACAGCTGCATGTGTGGTATATGATAAATTGAGAAGTGGTAGCCAAAACAGTTATGCAATATGACATTTAATACAATTCAAGCTTAAAATTAATGTCATTTTTACTTTAAATAGAGTAAAAAAAGGAAGGGTAATATTTTTCATTAATATGTAAATAGTATCAACTGTAAACACAGTACAACATTTCTTCTGTTTTGTGCAATAACCCATCTGATATTGCAGTATATTTGATAGACAGACTAACTTTATTCTACCACACGTTGCACATGCAGTCTGTCTTTTAGCATTAAAAAGTTCTCCATTTTATAGTCAAATTCTATTTCTCGTTCCCTTGGGCATTGGTATTGGATTGTCATGTGTTGCCCAAGATAGCCAATAAGGTTGCACTGGTCCTCGTACTTCTGTAAGAGATGCCTATACTTCTGTTTCACATAGTCTGAATTTTTTGGGTTGAATGCTGAAACAAAACCAGGTGTAACTGAGTAAATGCCTCAATAAATGTTTAAATAAACCGATAATCACCAGAATGATTGTTATAATTGCAATTCAGTTATGGTCAAAATGGAAATAGTTTTAACAAATAATTTATAATTTCATTCAGTATTACTGTGTGTTGCTGATGTTACATGTACTCACGTACCACGACATACACCTACTAAAAATCACCCATATTCAAATCCCTTGGCCATAAAATATATGGTATGGTATGATATAGAAAACTATTACCACTCATGTATTCTCAATAGGTAGGTTATATTACCTGATGTGGAAATGAGTTTCATCAATAAAGATGAATGAAAGATGTCAAATTAAAGTGTACACATTTGACTGCAATATTATACATGCATGACTAACAAATGTTTTGAGTATTCATCATTATTTAATCATGCATATATAATAAGCATATTTGGACTATATATGTAATTATGTACGTGGTCATACATAATTTCGAGACAAATTTAAATAGTCTTGTATTGTTGCAAATAATACAAGACACTGGCTGAGTAACTGCATACCTTTTAGATGATAAGCAACATATATTAAAGCTGACACTGTAGGATCTTGAAATGGGAACTTTGGTTTGAAGGTGCCAACTGCAGTCAATGCCTTGATGATTGCATGTGACACACACTGCTCCAGGTATCCCAGCATGGGTAGACCAGTGACAACCAGTGGTTGCTTCAGAGGTGGCAACTTATGTGGAAGAACTGCTGATGAATATCTCTCTGGCAGCCTTCGCACAACAAAAACGTCTGCGATGTGGTATTATGATAAGAAACAAAAGTGTACTGGTATCTTACTTAAATAATAAGAGTTTAATAAATTAATAATATAATAATATATACTTAATCAATTCATCTAGATTGCCCTGGACACCATTTTATCTCATCACCTTAAAAACTTTTCCAAACATTGCTCTGATGTGAATAGGAAAAGTTTGTCATCATATGTTACGGCTAGGTCTTGGGAACCAGGAACCAGAGCTTCGTATCTGTAAGGGTAAAAGCACATTGAGAGCAACATTTTTCTCAATATAACTATGTAAGTGAGTTTCGAAGAATAGCAATTAAAAGCATTGATATTGTGATGACATGGCGAACGTGTTACAACACATCGCTCGGCGGTGTTGCATCATTTAAGCTGTGCCATCGAGGCGGATCGGTCGACTGGACGGCGGGATTAGGCATTTGTGAAACGTACTTGAGGTTTCCGTCAATATAGGTCACAGGACAGAAGCCTTGCAGGTCAGCTTGCTTTGGGAACATCTGCTTTACATCAACTAAACTTTTCCTCTGAGGAAGAAGGTGTGCAGGTGGGAGGGTTCGGGATGTAGATGGCGGCACAAATCTCTCCGGATCTGCGAGAAACTGCTGCAACTTCTCTGCTGAAGCCATCTTGTAGTACCTGCCTTTGTACTCGGCTGCAAACCTCAGTCCATCATTTGCTATAGGTTAATTTGAATAAAAAAAAAATTAAATTTAATAATAAAGTATACAGCAGAATCAGGTGTGAAAAAACAAAACATTGGAAAAAATTCTCATTAACCAATGAAGACATTTTTTTTATTAAACTTGTTAGAATTAAAGATGAAAATATGCTCTTGACTTTGGCTAGAGTTTCCTGTTTGAAACGTAGATGTTGCTTAACAAGGTGTCACCTGAACAATCGATGAGTTGCCCATCCTCTGCCAGGCTCACTGGACAGTAATACTGAAATTCTCCAAGCTTCTGTTTAAACTCTTTTGGTCGTATACACATTCCTGATATGGATGCTGAGCAACCTAGATGTGATTTAATGAAATGATACGATCTAGTATATTGCATAACTAAAAATCACAAAGAACTGTGGATGATAAATATAATAATAGAAAAGCAATATTCCTCTGTGGCCTGACCTCCTTTTTTATACCTTTTCCAGTCAGATGCAGGTAATCTTCTAGCTGCTTTACTGAACTTTGCGCCAATTCGACAGCATGTCTCCACACCCACCATTTGGATCGTTCCCCATCAATGGCTTCCCAGTTATTATGCTCCTCCTGATACCAACTCTGCACACTAGACAGCTGCTTTTGTGACTCCACGATGCGCATAGCGAGAATTTTCGCGCTGTCATGCAGTGGCAGCATCCTAAATAATGTAAACAGTATTAATATATCAAAATGAAAAACTAATGAAATTCTGCCCCAAGACGTATCAAGAATCTTTCCAAAAACTAGAAAGGGCAGTTGTCGCCAACTACATGTATCACCCGTGTTCTCCCCAAGATGTGTAAGTATACGAAGTTTGGTCGCGCTAGGTCAATTAGAGGCCGAGTTATAGAGCGGAAGGGAAATATGATGAAGGTCAAGGTCAAGGTCAATGTCAAATAAAGGTTGCAGCAACCTGGTTTCGGTATGCGACACCATCTCCCCAAGATGTGTAAGTATACCAAGTTTGGTCGCGCTAGGTCAATTAGGGGCCGAGTTACAGAGCGGAAGGGAAATATGATCAAGGTCAAGGTAAAGGTCAAATAAAGGTCGTAGTGACCTGGCTTTGGTACGCGACACACCTCTCCCCAAGATGTGTAAGTATACCAAGTTTGGTAGTGCTAGGTCAATTAGGGGCCGAGTTATAGAGGGGAAGAGAAATATGATCAAGGTCAAGGTAAAGGTCAAATAAAGGTCGTAGTGACCTGGTTTTGGTAGCGCTAGGGTAATTAGGGACCGAGTTAGAGAGCGGAAGGGAAATATGATCAAGGTCAAATAAAGGTCGCAGTGACCTGGTTTTGGTACGCTGCTCACCTTCTCCCCAAGATGTGTAAGTATACCAAGTTTGGTAGCGCTAGGTCAATTAGGGGCCCGAGTTAGAGAGCAGAAGGGAAATATGATCAAGGTCAAGGTAAAGGTCAAATAAAGGTCGCAGTGACCTGGTTTTGGTACGCTGCTCACCTTCTCCCCAAGATGTGTAAGTATACCAAGTTTGGTAGCGCTAGATTCTCCCCAAGATGTGTAAGTATACCAAGTTTGGTAGCGCTAGATCAATTAGGGGCCGAGTTAGAGAGCGGAAGGGAAATATGATCAAGGTCAAGGTAAAGGTCAAGTAAAGGTCGCAGTAACCTGGTTTTGGTACTCTGCACACCTTCTCCCCAAGATGTGTAAGTATACCAAGTTTGGTCACGCTAGGTCAATTAGGGGTCGAGTTATAGAGCGGAAGGGAAATTCTCTGCGGCGGACCGAGCGCCGGCGGCGGCGGGGGAGACATGAAACCATAGTATCCCCGCCGACTTCGTCGTGGGGGATACAACTAGCAGAATTTGGAGACGTGTAAACTGGTTCTCTATACACGTTTTCTGGTGAGAGGCAGGAAACTTCGCAAATATCTATGCCTATAGTAATAACCCTGCAATCGGACCTGTTGGCAGAATTCCTGTCCTTCGCACCACGTGCCATTGCTTCCCTGGGCTCCACCATCAACGCTAGCACCTTCACTGGAATGATGCTGCGCTCGGTCAACAAGCCTATCTGCTGGTGCGTGAGTGGATAACCATCCAGTATCCAGCCGTGGCTTTGGCAGCGGGAACCCGTAAGCATCACCTCAAGAGCCTGCACAGCTAATTCGTCTGGTGCTGTCAATCCCTGGCACAGATGCTCCCTCAAATTGATGGCCAGATCTGACTTGGGTAGCACCTCTAAGACATGCCTCATTGCATCTCCCACAGACACTCGTACTAATCCATATTCCTGTACAGAACAATGAAATATGATCACCACCGACATCACGATCATCATGATCACCATCATCACCATCATCATCATCATCATCATCATAATCATCGTCATCGCCATAATTTACAACTGAATTTACAGCATAATTCCAGGCGTAAATTTTTACCTCTGCAAATTTCCTGGCGACATTCGTCTTTCCAGACTTTGGCGGTCCAACAACCGCCATGTGTATAGGTACCATGTGTGCAGGAGGGGTACAGTTTAGGAACCCAAATGGATGACTGATGAACCTATCTCGTGCACGTTGCGTGGACAACCAGTACACATGCTGCCTGTATACAGCTGGGTACACTGATGGTTGTGGTGGGAACACATCACCTTCCTGAAGCTGTTAAAAAATCAACGGACCTTCAACAGAAATCTGTAGCCAGATATAAATTTTTTCAGCATTATGTTACACGGACATGACATAATGAATGTCAACAACTCACAAGCTGTTTATTTATATTATCACGATCACAATAATTTTAAGAACTGAAGGATTCTGTTTATGTATTATGGTTTCTGTATTATATCATGCCATTAACAGTCTGTTACTGGTGTTATTGTAAATTGATATTCTAAATGTGTGCCATGCATCAATGATGAGAATAAGATCCACAGCTGTTAGAAAACCACTATTTCTTTTTTTGATTTTAGAGGTTGCCTAGAATATCCCTGGTGGACAGCAAAGATACTGTGAAATTTTCCTACCTTCACAGGACAAAACTTCCCAAATTTGCTGAGGACCTTGTGCCCAGTACCCAGAAGTGCATTAGCCACTTGATGCGTGACAGGGTAGACACGCTCAAAGATGCTGTCTCTGAAGTCAACCATGTACTTAGTTTGCCTCTCAAGCACACACTGAACGATGCTTGGCCTCCTACTAGCCTCTACCTCCATGCAAGGGATGAGAAACTCGGCAAGCGTTTCCTACAACATTTTGCATCATAGTTGGATTATAACTCTAATGAATCAAACCCATCTCAATATTGTCAACCGTTTCCACCTTCCATTTTCATTTAAGGTAAATCATTGATGTAAATAATATAGTATAATAAATAATACAGTAACATTTTCACATAAACTGTCCATGGTTGCGATGCATAATCAAGTAAAACAAATGTGCATTTACTATTTGATTTTACTAGTAAACTAATTAATATCAATTGCAGCTAGATAAGGAACATGGTCGAATTTTCTTGACCTTAACAGTGTAGAAATATGTACAGACCTTAACTGACTCGATTCTGCCAACATCACTCTCATATGTGTGGCCAAGCTCTCCTTGCATCCTCTCTCTGGCTTCCGTCTCTGTCTCATCATCATCTCCTGCATCTGCTTCTGGTTCCTAGATGCACCCACCACATGTGTAATATAGCAGCTTTAGATTCATTTATATATGTTTACGGCTCAATACGTAAATTTGCGAGTTAATACTAAAATTAAGTTAAAAGAGTTGATACTAAGTATTTAAGGTGAGAACAATAAGCCCTTTTCATTAGGTGTTGGTCATGTCTCTCGTTGACACGTTCTCACGTTCAGGTAGAGTTACCTGACATTTAGTGGGCATAGAAGACATGCACACGGTCCGCGCTGGCGATGCAAAATTCAATTTCTAGAACTAATCTGAATTTGGTAGCAAATTTTTTCAATTTACGGGAAACTCTTCTTGCAGTATGTCATCGATGCTGGGCTTGGATGTGCCGGCCTCATCCTCGTCCTCCTCGCCTGCCGAGCCGCTATCGCCCGTCTTCACTGCAGCCTCAGCACGCTCTGCTTCCAGCTCCATCCTTCTTGCATTCATCTGAATCGTCTGCAGAGAACAGTTACAGAAAGAAGAAATCGTCACGACACACTGGTAAAATGTGTTTCAAACTGACTATTTGTCAAACGTTAAGACAGATGATTATTTTAAAATCTCTATTGTACACCAACAGTAATGACTAAATACATATATCTCCAATGAGAGAGAGAGAGAGAGAGAGAGAGAGAGAGAGAGAGAGAGAGAGAGAGAGAGAGAGAGAGAGAG